CCTCCTTCGTTGTGGCCTGAAAACCCAAAGCCAGAGGTGAGGGCAGAGGGGTAAAATCCAAAAAAAGAAGAGGAAAAAAAAAAATAAAGGCAAAAATAGTGTTGCCTGCCATCTTGTCCCGGAGGCACCCGGCTCGGGGCCGCGGGGTGGCTGCGAGCCGAGCTCGCGGCCGGGGAAAGGGGTGCGTGCGAGTGTGGGGCATGGCCAGAGGGGGATGTCTGTGCTGGAAACCCTTCCTGCCCTGACTCAGGCTGTGGTCACCCCTTCGACTGCAGGCAAAAAGTGGGGTCTGTATCCCCGAGCCTCTTCCAGATGTGTAGAGCCCCTTCTTACCTCCATCCAGACTGCTGGGAGCTTCTAGCGGTGTCTTCCGTCCCGTCCCCCCCCTAAAATGCTTCTCTCGTTTCCCCCTCCTCTCCCCCCAGCAGCGGGGTGCAGGACCCCTCGACACTCACGCTCACACGCACTCCCACCCACCGTACTCACATCTGGACGCACTTTCAAGTAGATCTTCTTCTCGTGGTTGTACCACAGCTGCTGGGGGGTCTTGGGTTTTTCAGGGACGTCGGATTTCTTGGCGTTCTGGATGAGGTCCGGGTGATCTTCCCTTTACCCGGCAGGGAGGCGGGGAAGGGAGAGCGTTACGGAGGTTGCAGGTGGAAGGAGAGCATCCCCGAAACCTCCCCGCTACGGGGTAACCGTCACTGCAAGGCTGAGCCTCCACGGGCTCAGATACTAGGGTGGTCCCCGAAAAGAGCAGGAGGGTTTTAGGAGAGATTCGAGTCTGACCCTCCCGGGGGAGCATCAGCTACAAGCATCCCCTTTAATGCGCCGGGCTGGGCTGCGTCCCTGGAGCAGCATCCCCGGAGCAGCGGCAGGTCATCGGGAACGCCAGGACCCACCCGGGTCACAGCGACCACGTTCAAAGGGAAGGGCTGGGGGGAACGGGGTGGTCGCTTCAGCTTTTAACAGTGCCGGTGGCAGGGCTCCTGTCCTCCCCCTGCAGACCCTAACCCCCAGAGCGGGGTTGGTCCTCTGCTCTCACCCCCTTGCCGAGTCTCCCAGCTGGACGGCTGCTCTCAGACACCTCTTCCTTGCTCTTTTTTTTTCAGCATCCCCCCCCTTCCCTTCTGCCTCCAAGCTGCAGTGCCCATCAGGGCTTTCCTCCGTGAGCTACACGCAGGAGGGGAGACTGGGTCTGCCTGGAGGGGCCTGGGGAAACACCGGGGGGGCTGCCCGCTCACCTGAACCTCGCCAGGTTCCTCTCAAACTCCTGCTTTTCTCGCTGGAAGTCCTGGATGTATTTCATCTGGGGACACAAAGCCACCAGGGAGGTGAAGGGGGTGTCAGTACCAGGGAACGGGCAGGCCATTCGACCGGGGAACGGCAGATCCCTGTCGACCCTGCCGGCTGGGCACCCCACCACCCCCAAAGGGACTCAAGGGCTCTCCAGCCCACCAGCCTGGTCCTGCAGCTCCCAGCTGAGGGTTTCCAGCCTGCCCAGGGATTCAGAGGCAGGATCTCCCCCCTCTCCCTGCACCTGAGCAGCCCTGGGCAAGAGGGCACAGCAGGGCTTTGTGCCCTGGACCTTTCCTGCCGGTGGCAAATCCACCCAGACCGAGAGTTGGGGCACCCAAAACGCCTGCCCGGGCTCTGGCCAAGCCCAAGGCCACCTCCAGAGCTGGAGGCGAGACGGGCAGCTCTCTTCCCAGCATCTCCCCCTGCTCGGAGCAGAGCCTGCCCCTCCATCCCTTGCTTGGACAGGGCGGCTCACGGCGGGGTGTGTGATTTAACCCCAGCGTTAAATACAGATCCACCCAACAGCAAAGTCACCATCCAGGTCCGCCTGGAAGAGACGGACCAACGGACAGACCCAGCCAGCCTCCACCCCACGGATCCTGGGAACCAGGACAGGAAAAGGAAGGGAAGTCTTACTGGTCTGACGGGACTAAACAAGCACCCGGGTTTCTCCCGTCAAGAGCCGGATTAAACCCTCACCAGGCAGAGGCTGGGCTCTGCTGGTTTTACTGGGAGAGCTGGGCAGGCAGAGCCCAGCATGCAGAGAGGA